GAAAAAAGTCAGAATTCTTGACTTTTTTCTCAGAATTCTTGACTTTTTTTCTCAGAATTCTGACTGAATTCTGACAATAATAAAAAGTAAGAATTCCAAGAAAAAAGTCAGAATTCTGACTTTAATCTCAGAACTCTTTACTTTAATCTCAGAATTCTTGACTTTAATCTCAGAATTCTGACTGAATTCTGACAATATATACTGAAAATTTAAAAAATCAGTTAACTTTTTTCTTTTTTTTTTCAGTGGCCCTAATCCTCTTCCGTAGGTTTTAACCCAAACAAAAATGGCATAAAACAAACTTTGGGGTATCTTACTTTGTGTCAGAGAACTCCAGGCTGATGAGATTGAGGACTTTGGGACGATGGGGTTTGGTGAAATACTTGATAAATTCGCTGAGTTTCATCTTGCTGTCTGCCTGCCGCGCTACATCGATCACGTCAATAACTTTGTCACCACCTGGTTAAGAGGAAACATTTTTTAGTTCATGGAGGATCAGAAAATACATTCTGCAGCTGCTGGACATCTGAATAGAAAATATGAAAAGTTTCCTAATTAGCTGTGAGTGGGCGAGAGGTTTAAAGAGGTCAACAGCTTGCTGCCATGTTTGTGTGCTTTTAGAGATCAAGCCCTGAGGGAAACTGGCATCAATATGGCCGCCTGGGGTGGGGGGGATCCAGGGGGATGCAAGCGAGACAATCTGTCCAGACCATCAGTCCCTGAGGAGGAGGGGGGAGTGGGTGGAAGCGCTTCGGTGTGGGAGAACTTAAACATGTAGGGAAATACTTGAAGAAAAAGAGAATCTGAGGAAAATCAGTCTAGAAAAGCTGGATCAGACCAAGACAGCTGCTTTTTGTATTTCCCCACATCTCTCAGATACTTTTCTTTTTCCTTTTGCCCTGTAGCATGTTGCCTCTTCTATTCTCCCCCAGCTCTGACGGCCCAGCTGGCCAGTGTCTGACGACGGCCAACAGCTGGAGTGAAAGCGGTCCGTCACATCGTGAGACGAAGCTGGCAGGAAACCCCACAACATGGAGCTTCAACAGCATCACTTCAAAGTCTTTTCATAAATGTAAAGTAAAGCTAATTCCCGCCAGCAGAAAGACACATTACTTTACTCTCTATAGTAAAATAAGGTCCTAAATGAACATAAATTGCTGTAGAAGCTTCTTTTAAAAAAAGCATGATTGAGCAGGGCCTCCACGTCTAGATCAATTATCAGCGTTGGGAAAACATCTCTATTTAAATATCATTGCTTGAATAAAATCTGCATTTCTTAAATTGCTTTGCAGAGCTCAAACATCCTTAAATAGTTGTATGAGTAAAGAAATGCAACACAAAAATACCCAAAACAAAATAAAAAAATGATTTCTAAATCAGTGCATTGGGAATACTGCACTGGAACTAATAAAGAAAAGTATAATGATTGGGTGATAATCTATAATATGATCAATAATGTTTTTCTTTTAATACTTAAGCAAACTGCTCAAGAAGGAAACGCTCACAAAAGAAAAAGGCCAGTTTATTAAGGACTGATTAAGAGTGTGTGCCAAGAGGTTTGAACCAATCAGCACCGTTTCCAATCTAGTTTTAAAAGAATTTTAAAGTAATTGTTAAATCAAGGTAACCTGGAGCCGTTTATTAAGGCGTTCTGTAAAAAACTTCAGCATAACAATACAATATAGCAGCTACTGAATATTACTGGAGAGTTAAAGTTAAAAGTATAGTGGAGGACTTTCAGGAACTGTGGAAAAGACCCGCCCTCGTCCCTTAATAATAAATAAAAAATAAAAATGCACAACCCTGTATCCGCTCCCGAGAGGGAGCACGCTCTGTTCTGTTTAAAAGTTGCCGTTTGCATCGCTCATATAAGCTTACTTTCCCAAAGAAGATTTGCAATTTTTCCACTATGTCAGCCTCACCACCGATAAGTGAAAATGAGTATGAACACATAAACGTATCACCAGAATGATTGACAGTTAGGAGGGCCAGTTATTTTGATGATCCACCTGGAAAAAGAACATCCTCCACTATAACTGTCAGTGAAATCATTTTTTTTTTCTTGGAAAAAATGTATATTTTCTAACAGTTCAGATAATGTATTTTAAAGTTTTTTGCTTCACGTTTTGAGATTTGTGCAAAATTATTGTATTTTGTGTCGAACTATTTTTTTTGTTGAAAGTTAACGCAAGATTTGTGTTTATCTGAAAGGCTGCGACTTGAATACGCAGAGAAGGAGCAGAAGCTTGGAACAGAGCTACGTGTAGCAGCCTCATGTTTCCTGTAGCTGTAGGTATTTTGCAGTTATGTTTGTAATGTTTTGTAAATTTATATGTTATGGTGTTTTTATTACTTGATATTTTAATTTAGATTGGACGACGAATAATTATTCTAAGACTTCTGAAGTGGCAGGTGGTCATAAGGTAATTTTTGGTAAAGCACGAGTCACCCGACTGTCTGCAAATGCTTTAAAAGCTTTGTTTTTGATCTCTATAGTTTTAACAGCTTTAATAAAGAGTCTGTCTAAAGGAAGCTGTGCCAGTGTCGTCACTTTGGAGT